CTGCTATTTTATTTGTTTCATCTTATTAATGTTGTTTGGACTGATTTCTTTGATTTCTGAAAGCCCGAGAGACAGGAGAGGTTTATGACTGAGTGAGGCCGAGGGCCTGTTTGTGAGGTATTGTATCTCAATATGTGAGCTGTCCGTGCGGATTCTGATATGATATTATAGCACATGAGTTATCCGTGCAGCTTATAGTGCTTGGGCTGTAGGAGCCCCTCCGGAGTCTGAACACCCCCAATGAGCACAGGTACCTACTAAGTATGAGTGCTGAGTGCTGAGCGATTGTGAGGCTGAGCGATTGTGCGCCTGGAGTGGTTGTGATATTGGAGTGATTGGGGGGGACTGGTGATGTTAGACCGAGGGGCAGTATATGATTTCATAATCCATGCTCATAGTTGCTTTGAGTCCTTGTTTGAGAACTGTTGAAAGATATTTTCTAATTGATTTACTTGAACTTGATTTAAATAAGCCGATTTGTCTTAAACTCTGGTTACAAAGCATGCCGCACTTTACTAAATTTTTGTGATATGAACGATACTTGCATTTAGCTCGTCACTACTTCTCAGCCTTTATTTATTTATGTTACTTACTGAGTTGGTGTACTCATGTTACTCTCTGTACCTTGTGTGCAGATCCAGGCATTCTTAGTCACGGTAGCGGCTGTTGATATTCCTGTAGCTGATCATTGGAGTTAGCAAGGTAGCTGCCTGGCGATCGCAACCCTGTTTTTTCCTTCTTTATCTCCCCTTAGTTATATTTTTGGATTTTTTTTCCAGAATATGTTAGTCTTATTATGGTCGGACCAGTTTTTAGTAGTTGCTCATGATTCAGTGACACCCCGATGTTTGGGGCTTTTCATTCCGCATTTTTATTTTTGAGTTCAACCCTTATTTCTTTTATGAAATTCTGCTATACAAGACGCCCTTTTGGCATATCTGTGAATGAATTATTGTAGTATTGTAGGAGTCGGCTGGCCTAGTACCATCGATAGGCGCCATCATGACAAGTTTGAGTTTAGAGTCGTGACAAAATGTTATCTAGAATTATAAATAATGTTGTGGACTACAATCAATAGAAATCGATTTCCTTAAGCGCAAAACTCCACAAATATCACACTTGTTTTTCGCGGACGACATTATAAACACTACTAGTTGTCATAAAATTATTGATCTACCGGATCACTTCACTCAACTATCAGGTCAAAAAATCAATTTTGAAAAATCAAGAGTTTATTTCTCTAAATATTACACACCCACAGATAAGAATTTCATACTTACATCTTTCAATATAGTGGAAGAAAAATCTTTTGGTAAATATCTAGGATTCCCTCTCTTTACTTCAAAGGCAACCAAGAGGGATTTCAATTTATAATTGATAATTTTAAAAATAGGCTTGCAGGGTGGAAAACGAATCATCTCACAATGGTAGGGCATATTATCCTAATAAAGTCAACACTAAATTTCATACACAATCATATAATACAATTTATATCACTTCCTACTCATATAATTATAAAATTAGAAAGCTACCAAAAGAACTTTATTTGTTTGGGGTTCGACTTCTAAAAAAAAGGCTTCATCTCCTTAAGTGGGAAAAAATAACTACACCAAAAGAACAAGGAGGACTAGGTATTCAACGACTAAAGGATAAAAATAATGCCTTACTAGCTAGTACAACTTAGAGGCTATTTCACAACCCTCATGCACCATGGGCAGCCATTCTAATATCTAGATATATTACTACGCCTAGGTACCCAATTAAAAGAACCTCTACTTTATGAAAACACATCATCGTGGGTGAAAGACATGTCAAAATGGATTACTTTGGCATGTCACAAAAGGTACCACGTAAGATTCTGGACGGACAATTGGCTAGCTCCAAATACCAACATTTGAAGCCTTATTCAGGGGCCATTAAAACGTAACGAAGATAATTTAAATATAGCTACTATTTTACACATAAACAGTAGCCAATTCTATCAACTATCCTTTGATTTACCCCAACACATAGTTGACAGAATAAATAGTACTTACATGTCTCTACACGTAACAACACCTGATAGTATCGTTTAGGGACTAATTCCAACGGGTAAATTTACTGTCAACTCTTGCTATAAAGCACTCACACAATCACACCAAGGAGCAAACCATCATGGCTGGATTTGGCGACTCCACATAATGCCAAAAAATAAAAAAACAAATAAGGTTGATTAGCCACAATCGACTGCCAACCAAAGCTTACTTACACAAAGTTAGGAGTTACATCTTCTAACATTTATATAATTTACCCCTTAGGGGAGGAGTCAATCAGTCACATTCTCTTATATTGTATAAATGTAAACCAATGCGGCAAGATATGAAATTAGGGAACCTTATACACTCAATCAAAATTGTAGGAGTTCCAAATCATGTTTAGCATAAACAACTCATTCTCCAACATAACCATTCAAATACAGTTACCATTCCTTTACAACAAATAATTCCTTTTACCTTATGGCATCTATGGAATACTCGAAACAACAACTGCTTTGAAAGTTTAAAGGTGAAACCGTGTCCTAACACCATATACCAACTAGCTAACGAATATTACTACCTAACAACCAGCTCACTTCACAAAAAAATAAAATTACCTATGTAAGTTAAATGGGAACCTCCTCCGTATGGAATTTTTAAGTTAAACACGGATGAGGCAGTCAACAAAACAAAACCCTCAGCTGGATTTGGGGGCGTATTCAGAGATAACAAAGGGGATTGGATAATGGGCTATGCGGGCCAACACCCAATAACCAATGTTATCGATATAGAACTTCTGGCATTGCTAAGAGGATTGCAAATTGCAGCCACGCATAACCTAACGCCACAGGAAATCCAAATGGATGCACAAGAGGTAATAAAAATGCTTCACGGTCCACTCCTAATGTACTCACCTTTGCTTACTGATTGCAGATTCCTGATCCAGAACCTGAGTAATCCACCAGTACTTCACACTTACATGGAGCAAAATATGGTAGCGGATAAATTAGCACATTTTGGAATGGAACTAACTTGAAGCAATATCACCTTTTTGGCAACTCCCCCATATTTCATTGGGACGCAACTCATGGAAGACAAGTAGAGCCATACGACATCAGGTACTTTAAAGGGCTGCTATTTAGGAATTAGCTAATGCATCCTAAAATTCAAATTTTCAATTCAATTTTTCATGACAAAAAATATTTCGAGTTGTCCTGAAGTTAAGATTTTTTAAGTTTAAAATTTCAGGATAAAATAAGTGTTGGCTGATCTCTACATAACATTTATGAGAATGGTTATTTGTGCACTTGCCCTGAAAAATGCATTTTCAGACCATGCTGGCCCAAATTTAATTTTGCTTATGGATTGCTAGGCCGTCACAAGAAACCCAAAACTGTAGAAAAACCCAATACATACAATGCGCTTTATAACTGAAACAGCCAAGAAAAAGAGACCATACAGACTCGGTCCTTTCAGGAGGAATAGGGCTGTTCAAATCAACCCTTAAAACCAATTACCATTAGAGAAAGTTTATCAATATTCTTGCAAAATCGAAAAAAATAAAATGAAAATTCACCTGGGTTTTTTCCGAAAAAATATCANTATATATATATTTTATACACTTTTACGACTACTAAATATAAATAATTTTGACAGCAGACTAAAAGTGATCATTGCTTCTTTTTTTCCCCGAAACAAATGCCACTTAGTAGGACTAGAGACGTTCCATAACTTTGTGCGTCAATTTTGATCTTTAAATGTGCAACTCGTTCAATTCATCCAATTTGAAGAGGCTGAGAAAGTGATTCATTCAAGGATTAAAATAAATTTAAACCAAATCAACCAATCAAAAACATGGGTAAATTTAAGTTACATTATTAGTCCAAATCAAATTATGCGAGAGTTTTGTTAAAAAGTAGAGTACAAAAAGTACTAATTATGGTTTGAATGGTGTCTTAGCTAATGATTTGTTCCTTAGAGATGGGTTATCCTATTAGCAACTCAATTCTATAGCTAATAAACTTTAGATGAAATATTAGATGCGATAACATAGTTTATCAACTCGCCATATTTTAGTTTGTTCAAATTTAATTTGGTCAACTCACCAATATGACCCCAAATTTAAATACAACTGCTCTTAAGGAAGAAAAAAAAAGAAAAAAAGAAGAAAATAGTTCTTAAAAGAATTAGGTTCCTAACCACAGTCTACAAAATATTGCATGGCAATGGAAAAGAAAAAGTTGAATATTAGCGCATATATAAGTCGTCTAAATACTACTCCATCAACTATGTGTACAAGTATTTGAATGTGTACATTTTTTCCTCATCATAGGCTCATAGCTAATTAAACTACAGAATACAGTTAATACAAAATCAAGACATATACTAATTGCTCTATAAATATAAATCTCTTATTGTTTATTTGTTTAGTTGTCTACCCTTTAATTTCTAAAACCATAGTGGGACAAAAATCAAATCAAGATCTTATCCCTTCATATGCTCCACCTTGTTTTTAATTCCATTGCATGGTCCGCAGCTTTAATTTGCCTTTTGAATCAACTCGGATAAACCCTTATTTAAAAGCTCTAAAAAGTAGTAGTAGTAGTAGTAAATTAAAGCTACGTACCCTTGTCTTTATTTTCATCCACTTTCCTTTTTGCCCTTTGCTTTTCTCTCTTTTTCCTTATTCAGTACAGTCAAAATATATCACCAAAACAATCAGTCATCTATCCCTTTAACTCCATCTTTCATACTTTTCCAAAGCTCCCATATGCGAAGATAACTCGTGCACTAAGTTTTCGCTATGCGCAGGGTCCGAAAAAGTGCCAGATCATAAGAATTTACCCTATATTTCTGCAAGAGCCTGATTACGCGACTCAAACCCATGACCGAGATTGCTTTTATTTCTGGGCCACCCCTTTTTTTTTGTCCTTTTGTGGTAGTATTTACAGAAAGCTATGTCTAGGCAAAGGAATATTGAGGATATTCATATTCATGCATTGCACATTCATGATCTAGTCATCAAAGTAAAATGAACTTAGTGACTGGTGGGGTACTTAATTATCAGTGAGCTGGAAAGAAAAGTGGTGAAGAATCTCTTTGTAATTTCCTATCAGAAACTTTCACTTTGCTCATCTTGTTTTCGCACCAATGCAACTGTTCCTCATTCACTTCACTCATTCTCAATACCCTTGACACTAGTTTTAGGTCTATTAAAGACATTAATATTCCCATCTCTTCCTCTTCTCTTAGCCTTCTTTTATTCCTCATGCACTTCCCCGATCGTCGTAGATCTTTCACCTTTGATTTTTTCTGCAAGTCATATTCTTCAACAATTAATATTATGTATACAGGATTTAGCTTTTATGTATAGATAGTGTAAAAAGATTTTACATTACAAAGTCTTAAAAGTCAACTTTTTGTAACATGATAACAAGTATGCATTTTTGTAACTTGAAAAACATGGTGAGTGATTGTTGCAACCTATAAAATTAATACTAGCAGTGTAAAAATCTTTTACACTATTAGATAATGACAGTATTTATAATATATAAATAATCCCAATATTATATACACCGTTAGTGTAAGAAACTTTTACACTCGGTCACCTTTACATGTTGTAGCAAGTAATATAGTAGTCGTTTGGACATAAGAATTGTAAAATTCGAAAAAATGGTGAAAACAATTTTCAAGTGAAAATGGTATTTAAAATTTGTGTTTGGACATAAATTTCAGTTTGGGTTGTTTTTGAAGTTTTGTGAGCGATTTGAGTGAAAATTTTGAAAAATAGTTTTTCGGATTTTTTCAAATTTTCAAAAATTTCCAAAATGCATCTTCAAGTGAAAATTGGAAAGTTTATATTCGAACGCTGATTTCGAAAAAAAGTGAAATTTTTCTAGAAAAAACTTCAACCAAATTTTATGTCCAAACGGGTCCAGTATGTCTTATTTTCAAGATTACAAATCTCATATTTCAATTAAATTTATTTTGATATCTTTTGGCTAACTTCATAGTGTAAAAAGTTCTTTACATTTTAAAGTATACTTAACTCTAGTATAAATAGTTGTGAATTTCAAAGATAGCAATGTGAACAAAGAAAAATTAATTACAAAAATAGTGTTTAGATACTTGCCTTTTGGTTGACTTTCTTTAGTAAGAGGAGGAGAGTTGCATCAGCTGAACCTCTTCTGTTTCTTTTAAAGAAAGCTGCCATTAATATTTGGCAACGATTCTCCTTGTCTGCCTTAAGGAAATTCATAAATGTTTTGATTGCTTCTTTCATTATCTGGAGAAATGAATCTGAAGATATTCTTGAACAATAATCTTCCTGCCCTTTATCCTCCTCCGAATCTAATCAAAATAAAGTAAAGAATATATTAAAACATCTCGGATATATTAAGAGATTTTTAAGGATTCATAGTGTATATTCCATGTCATATTTGTTTCTCTAATATTCAACGCCCGATTCCTGTAATACACAAGACTACTGAATAGTGAACGTGTGATTCCATTTCAATTTATTTAAAAGTATGAGATTATTTGATAAAATTTGAGTAATAATTATAAACAAGTTTTAGTATTATATAACGATCACAGTGTAAAATTCTTTTCCACTATCAGATTATTTAAAATATAGTTATAAGTAACTACCCATGATAAACGGAATTGGTAACATGAGAAAAGAGAAAATAAATTTTGCTCTAACAATTTCAAAAAATTCATTAGATGCCGACTGTGAATATAATTAAGTTAAATCCTTGGTTAAAAAGTAAAAAAAACTAGCTAGGTAAAAATGAGATTTTTTTTTTTCGTTGACCATATTCAACTAGGACTTTCATATTAAAAGATACAATAACATAAACATTGATGCTCTTTCTTAATTAGTTGTCATGTTTTTCTTTCGCATGCCCCTAACTAATTTATTCTTATCTCTCTTCAATAAATGTGCAGTCTATAATTAATGTATGATTTATTTTAAAGAACAATTAATATTAATTAAGAGCAAAATAAGAAAAACAAATTTAATTATATTTTGATTTTTTAAAATGACAAGTATTCTGGGCCAAATATTTTTAGTAACCTTGACAACTAAAAGAGGACTGAGGGAGTAATTGATTACCTCGATATTCAGGAACTTGAAGCAACTTAGGAGCAAAGCCTCTCATCTTAGCATAAATCTCTGGTCTTTTCCCATGTTCATAGGGTTCATTCTCAACATATCTTTGTAAAAGAACTTGAAACTGTTGAAATTGCTGAGCAACATAAGCAGGACAACCTTGGTCCGATGATTCCTTATTACGTGAAGCTCTTATACGTTGGAAATATTTGTAGTTCCAACTCAGAGCTTCCCATGCTAAGCACACCTGAGCTACATAAGCTGCCTCCAGTTCTTGAAATGGATTAATATGGTGTCGATAATCTGAAGATTTCTTGTTCCTTGTTGATAACTTGTGAACAATCCTATCTGATATTGATCTTGGACATGCTTGAATAGATCTTAAAGTTTCTGAATAAGGGTTTGTTACGTTACTTCAATATTAGTGAGAATACATAAAAGAAAATGAGGGATAATTGCATATATAATTGCTGAACATTATCTATTATATAAGGTAAAGTCACAAAATTATTTATTATTAAAATAATTGAACTATGTATGAATTGTTCAAAAAATACAAAATTAAATAACTAGAAGGTTAATTTTTTAGTGCCGGATTATGACATGTCATGCGCCACATCAGTACTCTGTCATTTTTTAAATTCCACATTAAATTAAGAGATGGAAAAAATTTCAGTGTACAAATTTTGCCTACCCAAATTTTAAACGTAAGGCAATTGAAAAGATCATTTAAATGATACCAAAAAGAAGAACGATTGATGTATTGAAGTCGTTCATCTCTATAAAATTATCAAAAATTGATATTTTCCTGTCATTTGTATTTTTTAACGAATTTACACATATTTTAATTCTTTTCATGCGGTAAAAATAGTTTTATAATTAGGTAAAGTTTAGTAACCATACGTTGAAATTAACCTAGAAAATGATGAAAGTCAGAAAATTACCTGTTTCATGTAGCTTTTGCGCACTAATTCTATCAAAAAACAGCATTTCCTCATCATATTTTTGGAAGATTGTATAAGACTCCCATTTAGGGCAACTTCTCCTTGAAGAAGAAGAAAATGGATCTTCAGTTGTTGAGTCTTTAATGGAGCTTCTCCATTCAGTGGAACTCTTAGAAGTAGAACCAACAGTACAAGAATCTCCAAATATTTCATGCTCTTCTTCCTTTTCTTGAAATTGCAACTTCTTGCTCTCTAACTTTGATATTAATGGTGCATTAACAAACATATTTTCCTCTCGACACAAATTATTTTCCATCACTTTCTTGTCTTTAATGATTTCCCTGTAACAGTTTCCTGTAACATCAACATAATCAAGAAAATAATATGCCTTAATTAGCCAAGAAGCTTGAAATATTCATCATTACTAACATAACAAATCTTATTAACAATAACAAATTAAACTCATGTGTAATCTCACAAGAGGGGTATAAGGAGGGTAGTGAATATATAACCTTACTACCTTGTGCAAGTAGAGATATTATTTTCGATTAGAAGCGGACCAATTCTATACAAAGAGGGGCCACCGACACTCATAAAGTTCGGCAAAAAATTCATGTATACATATGTTTTTAGAAAATAGATATATATTAGTAGTGGACACTCTATATACAAAACAGATTTTGTTTGAATTCAAAATTGCATCCGCAACCTTCAAATCCTTGGGTTTGCCTCTAGCTTCGATAGGCCCTCGGACTCAAAACAAACATGTAAAATCATAACAGTACAGAGAACAAATATAGTAGCGTAAAATTGAAGAAAACAGTAACAACAACATAATAGTAGAAAAACGAAAACACAAATAATATCAGGTAGATAACAAGTTTATTAAGATTTATAAAATTTAGTACCATGATTATTGATGTTGTTATCGATCAAGTCTAGTCCATTATTTGTGTTTAATTCCTTGAGAAGAGATGATGTGGGGCCAACTTGGTTGATTTCAGAATAACAACAAGAATCAGAATCATCATCTCTTCTTGGAATCTTTTCTTTGACTTCCACTTCATCATAAGTATGAATAGATTCTGAATCTACTGAGCTATAAATAGACTCTTCTTCAGTAGTACTACAAGTTTCCTCTGTTTCTTTCTCAAAATCAGGAAATTGATCATTTTCTTGATATTCACTAATTATGTCAGCTACAAAATAATTTTCCTCCACTGACTGATGGGCATCATTATGGTAATACTCATTTTCTTCCTCCATTTCTTCATCGTCAGAAAATTCAGCAAATTCATATCCATCTTGATTCCTACAAAAAAAAAAGGCAATTCTTTTTTTTAGTCAAATTGTAAACCGAAATTCTTTCTGACTCGTGAAATCAGTCACTTATACTTATATTAGGAAAGACTGCCCTATATCACACCCCTTGAGGTGCGGCGCTTTCCCGATCCCTGAACTGAATGCTTCGTATACCAGGCTGCCCTTTCTGCCATATAAACTAAGAATTAAAACATTAGGAGGAAAGGAAAAACTAAAAATACCTCCAGAAAAATGGATTTCCACCAAGGAAGTAGAAGAATTTGGCAAGTAAAATGGAAGTGAAGTAGGAGAACAGTAAGAAAAGAAGAAAAGAGCTAGAGAAATTGTAGAACAAACTAGCAATTGTTTCTTCTGAACATTGCATTTTTTTTCTATATGGTTGAAGATACAAAGGTTTTTGAGTCTGTATCGATTTTGCACAAAGCAGAGCAAAGTAGCACTAAAATAAAGGAGTAAACTTTAATTGCTTTCTAAAATTCTTTGTTTGTCATGCTGGTCTATTGCTTTTCCTATGGAGTTTACTTAAATATCCTTATGCATAAGACACTTGATTTTTTATGGGTGTCAAATACGCGCAATTAACTTTATTTAAGTGATAGTAATATGTACGCAACTTTATCAAATATTGCATACAACATTTTTTCCCACCAAAATGCAAAAGAAAAGTAGCTCATTACCACAATTTTCCAATTTTTTTTCTCACTACTAGGAGGGTAATTCGGTGCTTTAAGTCGTTAAGTGTGTTATTAATCTGGTGTTATTAATCTGTATTTGTAAGATATTTCTGGATATAGAAAATAACGTAATAATAGAAATGTAGAAGGAATAGATATTAATTTGAACCCACTGAATTCATAGTGTTTCTTTAAGGAATTCAATCCTCTCCTAGTACCCGAGGTTATGGATTATTTCCTCTCAGGATAGAATGAATTACATACTGGTGTAGCGGTACTTCACAAAAAAGACCGATTTGGACTAAATATTAATATTTAACAAATAAATTTGGTCGAAAAAAATCCGAAGTCGAGCAACGACGATATCGCGAGACTTTTCTTCTTCCCAACTCTTTAAGAACTAGAAGGATTGTAATCATATATATATACTCAACAAATGAGCTTTCATCCTCCAATATGAGACAATGTTTCTTTGTAAAGGAAGGAAAATCAACATTTTATTTTCCCTCCATTTTCCTGTCACGACCCAATTTCACCTATAGGTCGTGATGACGTTCAACACTACAGCTAGGTAAGCCAACTAATAAATTAAACATATATCGATAAAATTTAAATCTAAGAAAAATAATAAGACACCAAATTCTACCAATGTGTATGCCAAGACCTGATATCACAAGTGTATGAGTATCTAGTAGATTATACAAAACTCCAAATACTGTCTGAAATGCAAATAGACAGAATTAAGAATACAAGAAGAGGCACTGGTAGCTGCAGGACGGCTCAGAAAGGCAGCTCACCACTATGCCCCTGGATAACGAGGATGTGCTATGATAGGTCCTTTACTCGTATCTGTCTCAGATCCTGTACAAAGAGTGCAGCAAGTGTAGTATGAGTACGTAAACAATGTGTACCCAGTAAGTATCAAGCTTAATCTCGAAGTGGTAGAGACGAGATGGCCGACTTTGACACTCACTAAGGGTCAACAATAATAAATGGAATAAATTATAATTATTCAAATCAGCATGATTCACAGAGTTATCAATAATTTTATTCATTTAGCAGAAATAATAAAAATCCTTCAAATGCAACAATTTCCAATCTATTAATTAAATCCTTCAATTTCAATAAAAATTCCAATTTATCAAATAGCTATACAAGCTGCAATTCAATTTCAATAAATTTTCAATTTATTAAATAACTTTACAAGCTACAATTCAATTGTCCAAAAATCGTGTAATTATTATTATTATCAAGCACGATTTCTACCGAGGCCGTACGGCCCGATCCATAGTTTCGTGTACACTGCCGAGGAACGTGCGGCACGATCCATAGATGTATCTATCCTGCCGAGGCGTTCGGCCCGCTCCACAAGAAAGGAGAAAATTTTCTTATGTACCTCCGGAATGAGAGTATATTTATTATAAGATAAATTCAGGAGGAAGAACAATTTCTCTTAACAATTAATTAATTTAAATAGAAAAATCAAGTATAAGAGATTTTCATCCTTTAATAATTTTATCTAACAATTCACAAGATTAGACAAGTAATATTAATTAAACAAAGAATATAATTTATACAAGTAATTCATTCTTTGAGTCCTAAACTACCCGAACTTTAGCATTAATAGTAGCTACGCACGGACTCTCGTCACCTCGTGCGTACGTAGCCCCCGCAATTAGCAATAATTATTTAATTTAATCACCTATGAGGTAATTTTTCCCTTACAAGATTAGACAAGAGACTTACCTCGTCTTGCTCTAATTTAATCTACTAGTAGACCCTTTCCTCGATTATTCAACTCTGTCTCGCTCGAATCTAGCCAAAATAATTCGATACAATCATTAAAATTTATAGGAATAAATCCTATAAGAAAATACTACATTTTCAATAAAATCCCGAAATTAATTAAAAATCCGTCCGTAGGGCACACGTCTCGGAATCCAGTGAAAGTTACGAAATCTGATAACCCATTCAATTACGAGTCCAACCAAACTAGTTTCACTTATATCCGACTCCGAATCGATACCAAAATCTCAAAAATTTGTTTATATGAGATTTCAAAACTTTTTCCAAATTTCAATCTCAAAACACTAATTAAATGGTGAAAGCAATGATATATTTATGTATATAGACTAAATCCGAGTTAGAATTACTTACCCGAATGTCTTTCCTTGAAAATCTATTCAAAATCGCCTATGCTCAAGCTCCAATTTGTTAAAAAATGGCGAATGGAACGAATGACTTCTTTTTATAAAACTGACTAGGCAGCCTTCGAAATTGGGCCTCGAACTAGGCCTCGATCGTGGCTTCGATCACAGGCTCGAGCCTGAACCTCGGTCATGGCCTCGATTATGGCATCGAGCCTGGTCCTTTGATCATAGCCTTGATCATGGCATCGATCCTGAGCCTTCGATTATGACCCTCGATCTGTGGTCTCGATCATGGCCCTCAAGCATTGCCTTCGATCATGGCCCTCGAGTTGGACCTTCGATCATGGCCCTCGAGCTGGACCTTCAATCATGGATTCGATACACAAGCTCGAGCCTGAGCCTCGTCAACCCTGGACTCGATACCTGGGCTCGATATCTGGACTCGATACCTGGGCTCCATCACAACCCAGAATGTCCAACAGAAGAAGAAAAACTGTAGCAACTTTTTAAGTCCAACTTTTGATTCGTTAACTATCCGAAACTCATTTGAGACCTCGGGACCTCAACCAAATATACCAACAAGTCCTAAAATATTATACGGACTTATTTGAAACCTCAAATCACCTAAAACGACGCTAAAACCATGAATTATGTTCCAATTCAAGCTTAATGAAACTTAGAATTTTCAACTTCTACATTCAATGTCGAAACCTATCAAATCAAGCCCGATTGACCTCAAATTTTACACACAAGTCATAAATGACATAACGGAGCTATGAAAATTTTTGGAACTGGTTTTCGACCCCGATATCAAAAAGTCAACTCCCCGGTCAAACTTCCAAACTTAAATTCTTGTTTTAGCCGTTTCAAGCCTAATTTCACTACGGACTTTCAAATAAAATTTCGATCACGCTCCTAAGTCCAAAATCACCATATGGAGCTGTTAGAATCATCAAAATTCTATTCCGGAGTCGTTTGCACATAATTCGACATCCGGTCACTATTTAAACTTAAACTTTTAATTTTTCATCAAAATTCTATATCTAGGGCTAGGGACCTCGGAATTTGATTCCGGGCATATGCCCAAGTCCCAAATCATGATACGGACCTACCAAAACTGTTAAAACACTGATCCGAGTCCGTTTGCTTAAAATGTTGACCAAAGTCAACTCAGTTGAGTTTTAAAGATCTAATTCACATTTTAATCCATTTTTCACATAAAAACTTTTCGAAAAATTTTACGGACTGCGCACGTAAGTCGAGGAATGATAAATAGTACTTTTTCAGGTCTTAGAACACAGAATTAATTATTAAATTTAAAGATGACATTTTGGGTCATCACATTCTCCACCTCTAAAACAAACGTTCGTCCTCGAACGGGTTTAGAATTATACCTGAAGTGCTGAATAAGTGTGGATATCTGCTCCGCATGTTTTCCTTGGCCTCCCAAGTCGCTTCCTCGACTGGTTGGCCCCTCCACTGGATTTTTACTGTGGAAATCCTCTTGGACCTCAACTGTCGAACCTGTTTATCAACAATGGCAACTGGCTCCTCTTCATAACCCAAGCTACTATCTAGCTGAACTGTGCAGAAGTCTAACACATGTGATAGGTCGGCATGATACTTCCGGAGCATAGATACATGGAAAACCGAATGAACTCCTGATAGGCTGGGAGGCAATGGAAGCTCATACGCAACCTCCCCAACTCGTCTCAACACCTCAAATGGGCCTATAAACCTTGGGCTCAACTTGCCCTTCTTCCCGAATCTCATGATTCCCTTCATCGGTGAAACCTTCAAGAGAACTCTTTCACCCATCATAAATGATAAATCTCGCGCTTTTTGATATGCGTAACTCTTCTGTCTGGACTGTGTTGTACGAAGTCGCTCCTGAATCAACTTTACCTTTTCCAAGGCATCTTTCACCAAATCAGTACCGTATAATTTGGCCTTACCGGGATCAAACCACCCGATGGGCGAACGATATCGCTGACCATATAAAGCCTCAAATAGAGCTATCTCGATACTGGATTGGTAACTGTTACTATAAGCGAACTCGGCCAAAGGCAAGAAACGATCCCACTAACCTCCAAAGTCAATCACACATGCCCTGAGCATATCCTCCAAAATCTGAATTGTCTGCTCTGGCTGCCCGTCGGTCTGCGGATGAAAGGCTGTGTTGAGCTCTACACGGGTCCCCAACTCACTCTGTACGGCTCTCCAGAAATGTGAAGTAAACTGAGGGCCTCTATCTAATATGATAGAAATTGGCACACCGTGCAACCGAACTATCTTCTGGATATATATATCTGGGCCAACCTATCTGAAGTATACGTAGTCACAACAGGAATAAAATGTGCCAACTTGGTCAGCCTATCAACAATGACCCAAATTGCATCAAACTTCCGCAAGGTCCGCGACAACCCAACTACAAAGTCCATAGTGATGTGCTCCCATTTCCACTACGGTATAGTCATCTGCTGAAGTAGGCCACCTGGCCTCTGGTGCTCATATTTAACTTGCTAGCAATTTAGACACCTAGCTACATACTCAACTATGTCCTTTTTCATTCGCCTCCACCAATAATGTTGCCTCAAATCACGATACATCTTCGTAGTACCTGGATGAATAGAATACCGAGAACTGT